GCATGGTCCTGGGGGAGACCAGATATAGTGAATGCAGGGTGGGAGACCGGGGGAGACCAGACTATAGTGAATGCAGGGTCCTGGGAGACCAGATATAGTGAATGCAGGGTCCTGGGAGGACAGGATATAGTGGAATGCAGGGTCCGGGGAGACCAGATATAGGTGAATGCAGGGTCCGGGGAGACCGGATATAGTGAATGCAGGGTCCGGGGAGACCGGATATAGTGAATGCAGGGTCCTGGGAGACCAGATATAGTGAATGCAGGGTCCGGGAGAGACCAGATATAGTGAATGCAGGGTCCGGGGAGACCAGATATAGTGAATGCAGGGTGCCGGGGAGACCAGGATATAGTGAATGCAGGGGTCCGGGGGGAGACTCGGATGCAGGGTCCGGGGAGACATGATATAGGAAATGCAGGGTCCGGGGAGACTGGATATAGTGAATGCGGGGTCCGGGGAGACATGATATGGTTGAATGCAGGGTCCGGGGAGACTGGATATAGTGAATGCGGGGTCCGGGGAGACCGGATATGGTGAATGCGGGGGTATGGGGAGACCGGATATAGTGAATGCAGGGTCCAGGGAGACAAGATATAGTGAATGCAGGGTCCAGGGGGAGACCAGATATAGTGAATGCAGGGTCCTGGGAGACCAGATATAGTGAATGCAGGGTCCAGGGAGACCAGATATAGTGAATGCAGGGTGCAGGGTCCTGGGAGACCAGATATAGTGGATGCAGGGTCCCAGTTTAGTAACACTTTAATTGTGGCATACATTTCCAGCAATTATTTATTTCCTTCTGTGAATTGAGTTTAATGCTTATTCATGCCATATTTACTGAGCGTTTTCAGTGTTTTGCTGTAAATACTGCAGAACAGTACAGTGAATTGACAGTTTCAGGATCACATGCGATATTTAGGCAACATGTGTCTGGACACCTAAATACTGCATGTGTGATGGTTTTGTGAATGGAGCCCGCTGTCATAATGGAGCTTATTTGGGCACATTATTTTTATAGGGTGACAACGTTGCAAGTTACCAACAAACATGCAATCACGTCTGTGTTTTAAAAGCTACACAGTAAGGAAGAGTGATTACTTTGGGTTCCTACATTTTGTACTGTAGATCAGAGGTCTCCAAACTTTCTAAACAAAGGGCCAGTTTACTGTCCTTCAGACTTTAGGGGGGCCGGACAGTGGCCATTGGGAGTACAAAATATCCTGGCATCACTAAAAGTAAACAATGCCCATGTTTGGTGTTAGTGGGAGGAATCATGCTCCATCGTAGATGTCATTGGGAGGAATTGTGCCCCATTATTGGTGTCACTGGGCCCCACTGCTGGTGTCATAGGCAGGATTTGTGCCTCATCATTGGGAGAAATCACGACCAACCATTGATGTCATTGTGGGTAATCGTGCCCCATCACTAGTGTCATTCGAAAGAGTTGTGACCCATCGTTGATGTCGTGGGGCCCCATTGTTGGTGTCAGTGGGAGGAATAGTGCCCCATTATTGGTGTCACTGGGCCCCACTGCTGGTGTCATAGGCAGGATTGTGCATCATCATTGGGAGAAATCATGACCATCATTGATGTCATTGGGAGGAATAGTGCCCCATTATTGGTGTCACTGGGCCCCACTGCTGGTGTCATAGGCAGGATTTGTGCCTTATCATTGGTATCATTTGGAGAAATCATGACCCATCATTGATGTCATTGGGGGGGAATTGTGCCCCATCAGTAGTGTCAATGGGAAGAGTTTGTGACCCATCGTTGATGTCGTGGGGCCCCATTGTTGGTGTCAGTGGGAGGAATAGTGCCCCCATTGTTGGTGTCACTGGGCCCCACTGTTGGTGTCATAGGCAGGATTTGTGCCTCATCATTGGGAGAAATCACGACCAACCATTGATGTCATTGGGGGAATCGTGTCCCATCACTAGTGTCATTGGGAAGAGTTTATGACCCATCATTGATGTCATGGGTACCCATTGTTGGTGTCAGTGTGAGAAAATAGTGCCCCATTATTGGTGTCACTGGGCCCCACTGCTGGTGTCATAGGCAGGATTTGTGCCTCATCATTGGGAGAAATCATGACCCATCATTGATGTCATGGGTACCCATTGTTGGTGTCAGTGTGAGAAATAGTGCCCCATTATTGGTGTCACTGGGCCCCACTGCTGGTGTCATTGCAGGATTTGTGCCTCATCATTGGGGAGAAATCATGACCCATCATTGATGTCATTGGGGGGAATCGTGCCCCATCACTAGTGTTGTTGGGAAGAGTTATGACCCATCGTTGATGTCATGGGGCCCCATTGTTGGTGTCAGTGGGAGGAATAGTGCCCTACTGTTGGTGTCATTGGGAGGAATTGTGCTTCATCACTGGTGTCATTGGGAGGAATTGTGCTTCATCACTGGTGTCATTGGGGAGGAATTGTGCTCCATCACTGGTGTTATTGGGAGGAATTATGCCCCATTGTTGGTGTCAGTGGATGAAATATTGCCCCAAAGGCCAGATTAAAGCATGCAAAGGGCCACATCTAGCCCCTGGGCCACAGTTTGGAGATCAGTGCTGTAGATTATGGTGCTTTGTGCGCTGACTGCAGAACAAGCATCACCACCTTCTTTTATATTGTATATGTTATACTACCACCTTGTGGACGATGTGCAAATTAACCAGGACGGAGGCAACCTATGAAACAGCTGGCATACGTTGACAATTTAAGTAGCTTAAAAGATATTGAAGATGCTTTTAAATTCGGGAGCAGAAACAAATATATTTATTTAGTCCGAAAGTGTAGAGGAATTATATTGCAGTTCACAAAAACAAACACAGTGGATGATCTTGGGATGGAGCCACCATCCATGTCTGAAATATCATACCCCAGAATACAATTAAGTTACCCCTAAGCAAACAGTAGTTTTATTCAAATTACATGAAAAAAAATATTATGAACAAAATTGTTTAAAGAGGAACCCCGGTCACATGGAAAGCAATTAAATCTCATAGAGATATTAACACCCACTTAAACAAAGAACATGTTTTGACTGAAGTTCTGCTTTAAATCTGGATTATTTTTATTTGCTATTTTATTTTAAAATATCAAATAAAAACATCCAGGAAACAATATTTATAAGCTGCATCTATTAACAGTAAAATATACCAGGGATGAAATAGGAATATGAGTGTATGTCCACATAAAGTCTACTGTATTCATCAGTAATCTATATCTAGAAGCCGATGCGTTTTTGGGTAAGGGGTAACAAGCATCCTTTTTCAGGGCTGATTGGTCATTTTCAAGTAATGGTCATCAACAGCACAAAAAAAACATTTTTTTTTTAATTAAAAGAAATATACAGTATATATATATATATATATGTTATAAATATATATTTTAAAAATATTCTTCCCAAATATATGGACATATATTTGACATGATACAATTTTGGCCATATTCATATATATTAAAAAAAAAAAATATAAAAAAAAAAAAATATATATATATATATATACTGATATACTGTATGTTGAAATGTGTTTTTATTACAAAATATATGAAAAATAACATTTTGGAATGCATTTACAAATATATATACAAATATATTAAATGTTAAAATGACTTTTTTATATGTTAAAACAAATCTGAAGAATATATTTTAAAAAAATATATATTTTTAAAAGTATGTTTTTTTAATATATTCTTCAGATTTTTTTTAACATCAACAGCAAAAAAACATTTTTTTTTAAATTAAAAAAAAAACATTTTTTTTTTTAAAATAAATGTACAGTATATATATATATATAGTATATATATATATATATATATATATATATATATTTGAAATATATTTTAAAAATATTCTTCCCAAATATATGGACATATATTTGACATGATACAATTTTGGCCATATTCAATATATTTAAAAAAAAAAAAAATATATATATATATATATATATATATATATATATATATACTGTATGTTGAAATGTGTTTTTATTACAAAATATATGAAAAATAACATTTTGGAATGCATTTAAAAATATATATACAAATATATTAAATGTTAAAATTACTTTTTTATATGTTAAAACAAATCTGAAGAATATATTTTAAAAAATATATATATTTTTAAAAGTATGTTTTTTTTATATATTCTTCAGATTTTTTTTAACATCAACAGCACAAAAAAAAATTTTTTTTTTAATTAAAAGAAATATACAATATATATATATATATATATATATATATATATATATATATATATATATATATATATATTTGAAATATATTTTAAAAATATTCTTCCCAAATATATGAACATATATTTGACATGATACAATTTTGCCCATATTCATTATATTTAAAAAAAAAAAAAAAAAAAAAAAAAAAAAATATATATATATATATATATACTAATTGTACTGTATGTTGAAATGTGTTTTTATTACAAAATGTATGAAAAATAACATTTTGGAATGCATTTACAAATATATATACAAATATATTAAATGTTAAAATTACTTTTTTATATTAAAAAAACAAATCTGAAGAATATATTTTAAAAAATATATATATATTTTTAAAAGTATTTTTTTTAATATATTCTTCAGATTTTTTTTTAACATATAAAAAAGTCATTTGAACATATATTTTTACATATATTTGTAAATGCATTCCAAAGATGTAGATTTGTATTTTTAAAGATATACAGTATATTCGAAATGTATTTTAAAAATATTTTTTTTATATATTTTGTAATAAAAACACATTACAACATACAGTATATATATATATATATATATATATATATATATATATATATACATATACATGGGAGCAGAAACAAACATGTATATGTGTGTATTTTTATTTTATTTCTTTTACTTTCATTATACATTAAAAAAAATTTAAAACATTTTTTTTTATTTGCACATTTCTTTTCTTCAAGAAAATCCTCCTGAATGTAGAACACAACGAGCGATTGTACTAGATATTTAACACTTCTTAGCTTCGTAGTTCACAGTTCTGTTACAGTTGAATTTCTAGCGGTAGGTCTACCCACCCATATCGATTAGGCGCTGGTCTTCTACAACACAGAGAAAGATGAACAATTGTTATTACTGGCAAACAGATACAAATGTTTTTTTTTTTCTTTGTACTACATTAAAGTGAAGAAAACAAAAACAATATATATTGTATATAGTCCTAACTCAAAAAAGTATCTTCTATTAGTCTCAGCTTTTTCAAATCTCCAATTTTTTTTTTGCTGCTGTGATCTGACTTCCCTTTAGAGGGTGCTGCTGTATGTAGATCCACATAGCCACCCTCTCCTTTTTGCTCCTGAGACAGACTAGGAGTAGGACAGCCCACTGTCAGCTATCGTCACACAGCCGGTCCAGGCTGACCAGATGGTCAGGATCCACCCAGGTGCCTGTACTGGCACCTGGCTAAGCCTCTCAATGATCTGCTGAGAGCCTGAGCCAGTCCCTCTCACCCCCTCCACAGGCCAGCACTCCAGTGAGTGCTGGAGGGGAGAGCAGAGAGCCGTTGACTGACAGTCCCGGCTCTCTGCTCAGAGCGGACGGGGAGAACTGAGCAATCACCAGTGTTTGATCTCTCAGTTCTCTGGGTAAAGTTCAGATTCATACTGCAGCCATCTAGGTGAGTATGATCTTTTTTATTTTGTTGATTTCCACACTTC